GCTGCGTAGAGCAGAGTGGATCTAAAGTCAGACGTTTCCAGATATTAGAGGCGGAGTTATGACTGCCAATTTAAAACAATGGTGGTTAACGCAGCAAAGGAACACAGCGTGATGAGTGATAAAACAGAAAGGATTTGAATGTATTTATTTTCTCAGGAAAAACATTATAAACCTTTAACATATTATAGTTTAGGGGAGCGAAAAACGTAATTTAGTTTTTTTTATTTACAAAATAATCAAAGGCGACCCGGATGTATATCTGGATGCACAGGTGAGCTGATGGTACGGACCGTGCTTCCGAAATGGATCAGGTAGTGACAATCAGAGCCATTTTTAACCAGAGCCTGCAGACTGGAGCTACACGACGTTTCCTCAGTCTGCTGCTGGAGCGTCAACAGCTGCCCTGAACGCAAACAACACTAAAGAAAGACTCTGAGGGGTTTTTCTTACCCTGAGCAGTTCCTGGTTCTTCTCCTCCAGCTGAGCCTCCATCTGCCTCAGCCGCTCCTCCACGTTGCCGTGGCGTTCCTCCGCCTGGAAACAGAGGAGAATATCCGAATGCCTTCCATTCGTACAGCACGTTTTCAGTTTAATCTGACAGTGAGCAGAGAGCAGAGCTTCATCTCCCAATGATTCGGCATCGATCCTACAGAAGGATTCATGTTTGTGGGCAGGAAGCTAAAGTCCCTCTGAAGGATGGACGCGTCAGCGTAGAAAGAAAACTAACAGAATTCCAGCTTTAACCTTCGTATAAAACAGCAGTTGAACCCATGAACTCAAAAAGTTCATGGGTTCAAGCCAGGGCAAGCCAGGGCTTCCAGTATCGACCCGGTTTTATCGAGTCAGGACTAAAAGTGTGATTTAAAGATGGATCCTATCCGAACCTGCTGTGTTTTAAACCCACAAACTGAGAACATAAAAGCAAATGAAGCCCAGAAAGCACCAGAACAACCAATTCAGTTTGAATTAACCAATCACCAGATCTTCATTTAAAGACTGAACTTAACCAGGAGAGAATCGGCTTATTTTCAACATTTGACAAACTTTGGGTCACGTGATCATTGAGGTATCGGGATCTTAACGTATCTCCAGTCTAACCTGGTTAAGTTCAGTTAAACAGAACCCCCCCTCCATGTTCGAACCGGCCCGTTGAACTGGTCTACCTTGATCTGAGCCTCAGAGCCGCACAGAGCACTCTGAGGATTCAACATGAAGGCGGCAGCAGCGTGTCCATCAAACAACAGCAGGACAGACAGAGAGGAGAAAACATGTAACATCAGGACTGATAATCAAGGCTGCTGAAGAGAAAACAGAAAAACATCGAGCAATAAACCAGGCGGGGGGCGTTTGGTTTCTAAAAACCAGAGACGGATGAGAGGAAGAGAAATGCTAAGGCTGGACTGAAAGGATTTTATACATGGGGAAATAACTTCCAATCCGTTTAATATGCATGGAGGAAAAGTCAAATAATCAAAACTAAAAGTGGTTAAAATAAAAAGGTTAGAAGTTCTAGAAATAAATGGGAACTGATCCATAATGATAAACTGATCAATTAATCCGTTTCTCGATCTGTAAGCTATCATGGCTGGTTTTTAATGCACAGCTGTTTGATTTATTAATCATACAAACAGTGACTGTGATGGACCCCATAACTCTCATCAGATCCACTTCAGTTTAAAACCACATGCAGATCTGACTTGAACCTCCGCTAACTGCTAACAAACGCTTTAGTTTTTCTTTTGCTTTTCAGATGCAGAGCCGTTATTAAAGGGCAATTTCGTTTTTTTTCCCACATTGGCCCCTTAATTTTATGTTATTACATCCTGTTCTACTCACCCATATGAGTTTTGTGTCATTTGGAGCCGTTCTGAAGATATTCCGTTAGATTATATCAAGTAACGTCTTCCTTTGGGCAAAATACTTGAAGCACAAACTAAACTGTTCATAATTTATTCTTTATGGTTCGCCAGCATTCATAACGCAGGCGAATCGCTGTCCCCCAGACATCCGCGGTTATATTTTTTAAATCTATATGTTTTAAAAACAAAGCGGCGCGTGCATGACGTCATCCGCTCGCGCCGTCTACCATTCATTGATCCGGTCCTCTGAACTCCTGCTAGTTTTACAGACATGCCTGGAAGATGTCTAGTGATACTACAGGGTTCCTACAGCATAAGGCAAGTTAAATTTAAGACTTTTTAAGACTTTTTAATGCCACTTGAAATTAAAATTTAAGACCAAATTCCCGAGAGAAACAACAAAAACCCGCTTGCGACAACTTAACCCAAAGGTTTATTTTAACATAAACCACTGCACTAATGTT